GCACATGACTATCCATCGTAGTTCTTGTGTCAATGCTTATTCTACCTATCTGTCCCATTGTAGTATTTATCCTTCACTCCCAATAATTGTATTTCTTTAGAAGTTCACGTGAGAAATGCTGACGTTTTCAGCTGCAGAAATGCGGAACACCAGCATAATCCGTCATCGTTCTTGGTCGGTCATGAATCGTATGCGCGGTCATGGGTTAGTAATTATTATGAGCACGAATTCATCGGAGGGAAATGTAAGCAGAACATGAAGATCGACACTCCAAGACAAAGAGGATTGTCAGCACGCACCCGGCTTCTGTCCTGTTGAGGACACCTCCCCCTCGATCAGGAAGTTGCACATCAATCGCTAATAAAGGTAGCCATGATGTTCCCTTTAATTTCCTTGGAAATTAATCTGCGAGCTGGAGGTAAATGTCTTGTAAGAAAACTCTTAATGCTCGCTCTGAAAGTCGATATGAGTATCTGAGCTGAAATCCATCAGCTACTGCTTACTAAACGCGCAATATTCACAAGCTGTCAGCAGGTAGTCAGTGGTATACGACAGTTCGATCGTCGTGACCGACGCTGACCACCGTGTGCTCCACAGTGCGGCCTGGATAAGGCACGGAAATATGGATACCCTTGCGCTAAATTCCAGGGAGATTTAAGATTTTCGTTAGGATTAGAATTAGAGTTAGGGTTGCAAGGCTGACGAGGGTTAGGGTTAGGATTAAAATTAGGACATGGGAATAGGTATCCCCTAGAAGTTAGCGCACGGTTACGTGTGATACGGAGGTCCGACCGCAGCCTGTATAAGTACCTGGACATATATCGATAGGGGACGGGAATAAATACCCGCGTATTACAGGTGACCTTTCGCTAAATTCCATGATAATTTAAAACCAAGGTTGGAGTCAGGGTTAAAGTTAGGACAGGGGAATAATTACCATCACAATACTTCGTGAAGTGCAGTCATCCCGCATCTTTTGCATATACTCGGCACGATATTGTCCTAGCTTTCTTCTGACTTCCCCAATAGAGGCCTCCATGAGACGTTTGGCAGAAAAGTCGAAGGTGACAGCCTCAGCGTTGTTCATCATGTCCTTTAGCCAACTGTTGGGAGAATAGCTCTTCTGCGCACGGCAGAAAATGAACGGCTTCTCGAGGCGATGAGCATATTTAGCCTCTGGAAGGAAAGATAGGCAGATGGGTTAACCTGCGTGCTGGCACCAAAAAACAGTGGCGGCCAACAGCTAAAATGCCGATGCATGCTCGCAACAGTTTAAAAAATTCCTAAGCTGGTGAAAAGGCTGTAAAGGTCACTGTTGCCCGAAACTAGAGACAACGGCCGGCTGGCCAGAGTCTCACTGGATGCTGTATAAAGGAAACTCTTAAGAAACAATGAGAAGGGTGGCGGACCACTGTCACGGGTAAACGTGTTTTGAGCTTATTCCTCCGTCCCCTTTCCTCGTCGTGGTGTCAGTATTCATTGCTCATCCTGTGCCGGCTTTTAATAACAGCTTCATGTAGTACCACATAAAACAACGAGCGATCCCGTCAGTGGACCGAAAATACGACTCTGTAGAATGCGACGCTAAACACTTCTTCATAGTTAGTGCAATCTTTTCAAGAGACTCTCACTGTCCTTAAAGTGCATTTGTAGGGGGGGGGTAAAGCTTCAAATATATCCTATCGCGTCTTGTAGATTGAGGGCCCACGGCTCAGTAATAGGAAGCGGACACTATCGGCAAACAGAGCCTAGATTGGTACAGGGGCGCTCACCGATCGTGTTACGGAACACACTCGGCCCGTTATGCCTTAGGGCTCTCTCTCGAGCCCGACCGGCAGCCGCACAACGGCGCGTAATATAGGCAGAATAGCATTACCGACAAAGACAAGGGAGACTGGAATAGCCATTGATAGCTTATTAGCCGTCGTCAGTCAGTCGTACCCAACCTCGAAGTCTGGAACACCAGGGGCTCGATCCCAAGAGCGGTTGGTTAGAAGTCCAACGCCTCTAACAACTGAATCACGGGCTTGTTGTCCTGTCGGTTGTGATTGGGAATATACAATGGTGGAGAGGCGCTCACTGCCTATATTACGCGCCGCCGTGTGGTTGCTGGTTGGGCTCGAGAAAGAGAAAATCCTAAGGCACAGTGGGACGAGTGAGTTCCGTAACACGATCGGCGAGCGTCCCTCTACCATTGTATATTCCCGAACGCAACCGACAGGACAACGAGCCCCTGGCTCGGTAGTTGGAAGCGTTGGACTTCTAGTCAATAGGTCGTAGGACTTAGCCCCAGGTGTTACACATTTCGGAGTTGGGTATGGCTAGCTGACGATGACTAATAAGTCAAAAATGGCCATTTCAGTCTCCATTGTCTTTTTCCACGTCCCTTCACAACCACAATACTCAGCTACGAAGACGAACTCCAAACTAACGCCAATAAGCTTTGCCCTGTGCTCCATGAGACATTTCGCAGTCATCCCACGCACGCGTCGGGCCTATTGCTTCCTAAGTCGTCAAATTATAATATCAATCAACGAATTCTAAAGAAAAGAACAGGGACACCAGGATATTCAATTTTGGGCTTATTTTGTGTCGTCCGGCAATGCAGTCATCATGCGTTAGCATGCGTGACTGCCGACCCTCAGGTCCAGAGCATCGGAGAGCTTATCGTCTCCATCGATGCACTCCGCTTCTTTTTATAAGTATCCTTTAAGCCCCAACAGCCTGACTCTACGTTACAAACAACCCAATATCCCGTCCGTTGACAAGCCTTTAAGCCACGTGGTTTAAGGTGCCGTAGTTGCTTTAATGTGCCTCAGATAGAGCAGGAGAGGGCAGGACTCCCATTCTCGGCCCCAATCCCTACCCTCTCTGCCATCGCTTTCTCTCGGAGGGGCGAGTCCGCTTGACTGACTGGGCAAACTTTTGGTGCTAGCTCGTGCGCACCACACCCTCATGTTGACAGCCTCTCGCATAGAGATTATAGATCACTAGCTGCTGCTTTGAAAAAGACAAGGCATGCTGGATCATCGAACGTCTCGTAATTACTCAATGTGCGCATCGTTCAGTAATATCACAAACTAACTTCTACAACCCGACAGCAAACAGACGCCTGCGAGGCCACAGCGCGCATGTTCGACAAGTGGCACCAGGCCAGCAGCACCCTGTGACTCCGGTTCTAACAATTTCTCGTCCTCGAGTCGTCTGTGTCAGGTATATCTCGTGCACTGATGCCAGTGGCATTGATGCACGCAAACCTGGATGGTTCCCTTATGACAAACTACTTTCGTACTCTGTTTGTAGGAACCGCGTGCAGGTGAACAAGTGTGAGGTCACTGGATCGATCGGTGTGCGCCAATTGCAACACCGCAGATCTCGCGCCAACGTCCGGCAGCATAGTGTCAGTTAATTTGGAGATTAACCAGAAATTGTTAATAAATCATTTACGGAGTCTTCCTCTCGCTACTTAAGAGGTTCTGGCCGATAGCAAGTGCATTCAAACGAAATGTATCTTGGCAAAGATGTATTAGCACATTGCATGACTGATGACGGATGAGTGTATTTTACTTAATGAAGAATTTTGTCATAGTACTTGGTATGCATTTGGCTTAAACCCTAGGTTTCAGACACAATGTGTGCATAATAATCATGCCAGTTGGACTTAAATGACGAGATGGTGAACATAAAGTGGGTTATAATGTTAAATATGCCCCAGGCTGTGCATTTGTTCGTTATTGAGCGTTTTCTTTACTCAACTAATCAGTAATCGGAATATGAAAACCGTCAAAATTCACTGTTCCACCCTGGTACTGGGCCGAATGAATTCTAGGGTGTCACCTAGTCCTCGCGTCTTTTCTCAAATTTTATGATTTTGGATCTTTCCGTGACTGTTTTGGGGGTAAACTACGTTCAGAACACTAGTACTGATCCTGATGAAAAGGATAATATTGGTTCCATTGTTCTGAAGAAGTACTTGGCCTACAATCCTGACCGACCATTGGGTTTTAATCAGCTTCTGACTGGCCGAAGAATCACTTCAAGGCTTTAGAGCACAACAAGTCACCTGATACTTCCCCCCCCCCTTAAAACCCTCCGTGATGCGATCTCACCCTACCGATATCTTGATGTTAATATTTCAACTTAGACGTGTCTTTCATAATGCGTTTTCTGTTGCCAGTATGCCACATTTTCTCGCAGTTGATCTAGCTTTCCCACAACACTTTAAACGGTCAGGCAGTGTTCCATTTAGGAAGGTCCACATCCACCACATTCTCATGACGCATAAATTTCGTCGTGACCTTCACCACGTTTGGTGCAAATGCCTGTTTATCATGATTGCCAAATCTCTTCCTAGTCCGCTTTCTCATGCACCCTTCATAAGAGTGTAACTAACAAGATCTAGCCAGACTAAAGCTCTAGTTCCAGTGATCTTGCCTCAAGTACTGCCAGAGGATTGATCAAGAGAGGGCCAGTGCTGTGAGTTCATGCGCCAGATCGGTACAAATCTACTCCTGCAAAGGGTGCCTGAACGAGCCCGCGAACAAAGGACATACACGACGCAGGACTGGAAAACGAATTCCGAAAGCTACCTAATCCAACGTCATCCAAAAACGACAAACTGGTGGAGAATCTCTCGTCAAGGGAGCTAAAGAAGGATCAGGTGATGGTGTTACGGCGCAAAGCTTAATTCAACACGACTGACGCCAAACCTAACAGGTTGACCTCGGCCATTCAATGACGGCAGAGAAAGTGGAGGCAACATGTAGGTAGATGGGTACACAACAGGATTGGGCTTATTTTGCCTCTAGTTTGAGCTTGTTTGATTTGGAACTTCAATGAACAGTGTGTGCCTATTTCTGTACAGATAAATATCCGATCTCAAGCAACAGGGAGTGGCAGGTGGCGAGACATTAATGAACTTCAGTTCAGAGAAGGCTATATAGCTCATCCGACAAACCCCGTCTGTGGACCATCTACACTATATGCCAACTCTCATTTGTGTTTCCGGTCTCAGATAGTGGCCAAGATACACTTGGCTGAATGAAGTCAAAGTAAGCCAAAACAGTGCTGTCTCTCTACCCACATTTCCTGACAGTGTCCTTTGCTTTGTAGTGGATGGTAGAACGTCGACAGGCTTTTTTCCGACATAAGGTATGCTGTGATCTGGCAGCGTAACGTGACAAAAGGAAAACACGTCTGGGAATATTTGTCTTTTGGAGCAAAAAAACCATAAAGTTCATGCCGCAAGTTGCTAAGGTGTGAAAATCAAGGTTCCCACACAAGGAAATTAGCAAACAAATGACGTCGAAAAACTGCTTCTCAAGAGCTGCAAGCTGTACATTAAGGTAATGTTGTCATACGTTGTCAGCTCACCTGCTCGAGTACTCTGTGAGTACTCATAAAGTTCAGAAAAAATGGCGCATACAGCGAAGGACTGTTCTATGGCCGTCAAAACGTTGTCCAGTGGATTACCCGCCGGTATTGACTGTTCAATATCCAACCACACCTAATGGTGGCAGAGGGAGACGGACAAGTCATTCAGAGATTTATTTTAACTCCATATTTCTTTTGTAACAATTACAGTACCTTGAATTGCAACCCTTTTGATACCATAACTAACCTTTCTAAGCTACAGGTTGGTTTATACTGTGCGGACGCAACCGAACACCCCATTTGGAAAGGCGTGCGTAAGGGCACGAGCGATCAGATGTCCTATGGAAATTAAAGAAAAATCAAGTCCTACCCTCCAGTTTGCTTTTACTGCCTCCAAAGACTTCTCGAAATGGTTGTATTGGCAGCCTAGATTGTATATGTCCGAAAATGGTCACCTCTCACCTAAAGGAGTGAGTCGAACCACAGCCTTTCTATGCTATCTCACTCTGCATGGCAGTCAGAACAATCCGCTGCCAACACATCGCTCAAGGAAATTTCCCAGGCAATGTTCGCACAACAGGACTTTTGACCACAGATAGGGATCAATCTCGTTCTCCTACTAAGGAATCAGTCGTAAGCTCTCATCAAGTGTCTCTTGTGCTGGACTGGATGCAGCAGAGCAGTACTGCCACAGTGTTATTGTCATCACCAGAACTCATTATCGTCTGGCTAAGTAGATCGTCTGACATCATTGCAGTCTCATTTACTGACCGAATTTCCGTCCTGTTACGCTACCACAGTTAATGATTAAGGACTTTACTTCTAGAGGAATGGGAAGGCAGACCTTGCACCCCAGGTTGGAGATGCCTTCGCCCTCGTCCGGGTCACGGGAGGTGCTCCTTCCCCTGTGCCTTGGAGCTCAGTGTGGAGACCTTGTAAGCGATTTCACAGCCACAAATGACTTATGCAGAAAGAAAGATTGTCGCAAAGACGAGGGAGACTGGGACTGGCCACTTCTGGCTTATTAGCCATCGCCAGATAACCATGCCCAGACCCAGATTTGCCGAACTTAAGCCTCGAACCTGCGTTCTTTGGTCATCGAAAGTTAGTAACTCTAATGTCCCTACTCCCTCCTTTCGAAGTCGAGCCAACGAGTGGGATGGGTTGGCCCAAAGCTCAGTGCAACCAGTCTATCTAACAACCCTAGCCTCAGTCGCACTTTTTGCATCTGGCACAACCGGAGTCATAGACGTCTCTGCGTTGACACTGGTGCACAGCCGAGTTCCATACCCCCAACAGCGACCGACCGTTGGCGCTCACGTACCTCCTCTCGCGTCATAAAGGTTTTTTTGGATCGTCACAGGTGTGCTAGCCGCTTTTGATAAGATGAAGGCTGTCTTGACCGATTCAGCCCCTCGGATGCAATCTGTTCCAGGCGCACCGATCTCCTTCATGGTCGACGCTTTCAGTGCTATGGTCGGTGTTATTCTTCAGCCGTACACGGCAGACCAGCTTCATTCTCCAGAAACCTATCACCTGCTGAGTCCTGCTACAGCACATTTGGGCAAGGGTCTTTTGATCGCACAATTGGTCGTGAAACGCCTCCGGCACTTCCTTAAAAGCAGACGCCACCATATTCACAGACTATACATCAATAAATGATACTTATCTCCATGATTGTGCCGCGGCCATATCTCTTTATAAATGCTTAAATGGACGCAGGACTGCCCTTCTGTCTCCAAGTAGATAGGAAGTTAACCTTATGCGGTGCAATGTGAATAGCAAGGTTAAAGGGGACTAGCATGGCATTTTTCTCGCTTGACCTCGTCAGCCAACCATACTCCAAGCACAGCCCACCGGCATCCGTAATCAGAACCCTGAAATCCTTCGTCATTTGGAATGCATACAAAACTGCCCCTTATGCCGATCACGTAGGACTACAGTTTTAGCATGCCCAGGAAAGGATTCGCATGCTTATGCATGTAAGGGTTTAAGTTTCCAACTTTATAATCAGGTAATGTTAAGGCAAATAAGTAAACGCGTTATATCTCTAATTGTTTAGATTTAGAGGTGTGAGGACGTTCAGAAAGAGCCAAGCCACATACTTAGTGAGAAAAATTGTTAATTTACGCAAGTGTATGAACGCACAAGCCTATCATCTGATGAATAAACAGAAGCGGTGGCGCGAAATATGAGCAAAATAAGGTAAAAAATTACTGATTGTGTAAACACGATGGGATTCATGCCGTGTCATAAGGCTGAGTGTATGAATACGTATGTAAGCAGTTGGAGTTGTAGAATAAAACTATTTTATTCAGCTTGTTTCTTTCACTAGAATAAATTACCTACGAAATGTGTAATGATACTAGCCTCAAGACGTTTCTTGTCGGTACAAGTTCTCGATTTGCAAAGTCTGCTTAAAATATAAATAGGTGTCAGACCGCATAAGGTTCCCGACGTACGTTCCCTTCACTATAAACCAGTTGGCGTACAAGTTACCGTTTGTTTCACAAGACGGCGGTGGAGCTCGTCTCTTGCGCGGCCAATTTACCCCTTATTTACTAGAACGACTGTTACTGGCATTACGGGTACTATGATTACTAAAACCGTGAATTTTAACAACACAACTATCCCTCTTATTCATATTAATACTGGCAACGCTGCTCCCAGTGCACTTGCTTCTAATACTCCAATTGCTACGAATATGACTATTTTTAATTTAATCCCTGCAAGTTGTGCGACAACAGCGTCTTCTTTTGTTGCTGTTATTGTTACTGCTACAGTACCGGCTAGCACTGCTGATGCTAATCATAAGTTCACCACTACGATCACATGTAGTCTTAAAATGACGAATACTAAGTTGCATGAACTTAAGGTTTTCGTATAAACTCCTAATGCAATACCACTATTCCTAGAATGCAAGCTGTATGTGCTGGTATTGCTGTTACTTGTGATGATTTGGACCATACTGGTCACCGCTGAAAGCTGTCTTCGCAACTGTTTCAAAATATTCATGAAGAGGAGATGAAAAGTCAAGGAAGATAGTCGGGAGAAAGACAAAAGAGAAAGCCTTGGCAAAGTTGCGTGGATCGGGATTAATTGATGGGTCTGACAAAGCAAGGTCTTGAGCAGCCCATGTTTGCCCCATCCAGGAGACTGCTAGATGCAAGTCGCCTAATGTTCCTTGACAGCAAAGTTCAACGTCTGTAAAACAAGGCTTAAAAAGCTGCAACTGACCGTTTCACGTCATTCATAGGCTTGTTTTACGGCATGATCGCAGTTGGTAGCCAGGCCCCGTATTTCAGGTGGCTGGGGGGGTGGGTGGGGCGTTGTTTACTGGGGCTATTTTGTGGGGCTCCATAATCACATCTGACCCATTTGGCTTTCGTTTTACGTTTGCGGCTAGGATTAGGGTAACAGTTAATGGTTTCCGATTTTCGGGTTAGGGTTATGCCTTTAGGCTTACGTTTTCAGGTCACGGTTAGGGTTTGAGCGTACGAATAGGTTTCAGTATTATGATTAGGTTTCTCAGTTACTGCTGTCTAAGGGCTACGGTTACGTTTACGATTTCGGCTAGGGTTAGGGTTAACGGTTAACGTTTAAGGTTAGGGTTAGGGTTGAAGTTAGGATTAGCGTTAAGATCGCCGTCCGCTTCCCCATTCCTGGCTACCAACTGCGATGTAGCCTGTTTTACTAACGATCAAATCGGCCAAGTAGTCTACCAATCCTCTCTCGTAGATTTTTCAAACAAATTGAAGTATAACTGTGTACTTTAAAACATTATATCGATCTTCAACCGAAATATGAGTGGCAATTTGAGCTACAGAGATTCTGTGCTATCGGATGTTGACGCCACCCGTGAAAATAAAAGTCGTTTCGGAAGCGATATGGAACGGATAATAAATTTTCTCCACATCGATTGCACAACCCTCGCGCTGAGCATTAACGTAGACGAAACGGCGTTCATGCATCAGTCGTTATCCAACACCGAATACAACCACTCACACATCACTGTCAACGGCAATCAACGGAAAAACCGTGGATACTTTCGCTAATTTAGACAGTACGCTTTCACAAGGCATCAACGTTGTTGACGAATTAGCCCACCGGATCCCCAAAGTCAGTCATGCCTTTGGTCAAGTGCAGGCCTCCGTCTAGGACCGCCAGGGACTTCTACACAATACGAGGATTAAAATATGCAATCAGTAGTCCTGGTAACCCTACCATGAGGACGTAGACTTGAACCGTCTGCGCCAATCAAACCAGGAAACTCAATCACTCCTTCCTCAGTTGTCTCCAGTAAATATTAAGGCTGAGGTGGTAGGACAGGACCCATGACACGGAAGTCTTCGAGCGGACGGGAATCCCCAGCATCCACGATATGCTGAAGCAACTACATCTGCTATCAGCGACCACCTCGTGCGGATAGACGACGTACGCATACATAAACGACTCATCTGCGGTAATGTTGCTAGGGTTGCTTAATGACATGGTGAACAAAAAAGACGCTAAAAAACGCCTTGAAAATCTCTCTAAAAAACTGCAATTCACCCCGACGAACTAGAAACACCTTACCGGGGATCGATCCGCCTTGAGAAGAGTAGAGAAGACTGGAGCAGTAATCTACGAAGCCAATCGGACCGCCGCTGCCAAAGCCAAAACAGTAGCTTAAAAATCGTAAGCGCCGCGGATTTTTAACTCCAAAACCCCACCACATTTTACGTTTTTATGCCGCCAGCGAACATATCGTGCACGGATCGGCCTCGTCGGACCCAATTCTACAATACTACGACCCCACCTGCCTCCTCCGCAAACGCCCCAATCGTCACCTCTGCACCGATCCCCACGACGACGACCACAACCATTACCACCACCGGTGTCCGCAATCTTGATACCACGACGCCTTAGCTGACGTCGCCGACCCCAACCACTTCTACCATACCTGGCACAGTCCCTGCGATGACCACTATGCCTCCAACGCCAACCATTAGTGAGAACAATCACGAAGTCCCGCCAATCACTATCTTTCACAACACCACCACATCAACCACCAGCAATGTGAACTCAATACCAACCTGTCCCTAGTGCGACTATACCTTCACCTCACACATCGGCCTAGTCAGTAGTTTGCGATTCTGTCGGATAGAGAAAGGCGCACCAATGTCACGAGCCCGAACATACACCTACCGCACCTGCCTCAACTTCCCGCATTGTCCACACACATTCACTCGCGCATGGGCATATTCGACCTTATGCGTATACGCGGCAGCATAATCCACCGCAATATCAACACATTAAGCACACTGTGCACATCCGATAACTCTCTCATCTCTAGCACTATCACTTATTCCTCCACCAGCTCGGTGAACACCGGCAAGATCACCGTCGCAACTGACTCAGCAGCTGCCGTCCTCTCCAGCCCATATTGGCACAGCCCATGCACACCGCGCATCGGTCTTGTCCGTCGTATGCGAACTCATCGAATAGAGCGGGATGAATTAGTGTCTGGATCGCCAACGTACAACCATCGCATCCGGCGCGACTGCCCACGCACATTCAGTCACCGCAAGCAGCTACTCTGATACATGCGTACACACACAAAAACCTGCGGTTAAATGTCGCTAGTGGAACTCCATCAACACACATCTCTTCACCTACACAAACAGTAAACACGAACCCGTCCCTCACTGCCCATCACAAACAGAGAATCGGCACCCCCCACACAAGTGGGAATGATGCTCATTGGCTCCTTCTTCTTGTGGTCCCCCTGCCACTCTACCGCATGTGAGATGCAAGTAATTCAGTACCTTTGTGTGAAATGGTAGCGTGTTGTGTAAGAGGGCAAGTGGGACACATCTTCAACTTTGACGCCGTTGAGATTGTGGGCCGGGGCAGCGATCACACAGCAAGGCAAGTGCAAGAAGCCTGGATGTCCACCGACCGCTCTGTCAACCGCCACATCAATTTGCCTCCCCCCAATCCGACTTTACGAACCTTCTTAGCGGGGGACAGTCACGGCGCGGGACAATCGGCGCCGTCAGTCATCACCGCGGCCGATGACGACGATTCAGGTCACGGTGACATGCGGGTTGGATGCAGCCACGCAGGCGGCATTGGCGGATCACGCATTGGACAAAGGGCGCCATAATAAGGAGTGCTGTGCACAGGACCTCCCATTCCCTGAAGATGGGTAGACGAATAAACTACCCGAAACGTCGGATCTCAAATAAACCCCTCCCGGTGAACGCCCTCTCTTCTTTTGATATGCCACCTGGGAATCGGATTTTCACTACTATTGAGGTCAAGTACTGTTTGTGGCACACGCAGACGGCTGATTTAGCTCTATCAGCATCAGTTAGTTGACCGGCTCAGACAATCGAATGGCGCACGAGAAAGGGGAGACAGAGTGAGGTCGACTCTCAGCGCATCTTCCTCACCTTAAACAATCTCACATGCTTTAGATTGTCAAGGTGTGCCAACAGCCGTTGCCTTGAAGGCTGCCAACTGACGAGATAACTCGAACCTCGCAGGCAGTTTAGTGTTCGTTTGTATGGGGCGGCCGACTGGTAGGCTGAGAGAATCAAACTGTGAATGCTCCCTAATGTGGCGTCTATGGCACTCTCACAGATGTGAGACGAGAGCCGCCCGCTCGCTCGGTATGAAATCCTGGTGTCTTATGTGTGAGGAGGCGGATCGTGCATGTGTCACGCGCAGTCGAACTCTAGCTTTGTCACCCACCGCCCCAAATCCTCTCAACTGTTGACTAACTGGTTCGGACGCTGGCCTGGTGCTTGGGAGAGCGAAGACAGATCGTGGTCGACTCCTTCAACTCACTGTAAACAAGCCGGCTTAGTTGGATCAATCACTGTGCCTTAAAAGTCATGGCTTGGAAGGTTGTCAGCTGACGAGGTAATTCGGTCCTCCGCCCAGGGCACAAAGCCGGCCTGCGATGGTTCCTTACTAATGTGGCTTTTATGACATTCCCACTCAGTTGATATCCGAGCCACCCCTCCACCTGCCAAGCGTGTGCCGGGAGTGTGGTGGTACGCCTAGGTGCGGATTTACGTCGTGTCATCTACCTGCGTCCGATCTTGCCTCTATTCTTGTTAATTATGTCATGACACTAGGTCCAAGTGAGTGACCGAGTGAGAGTGTGGTAGATGCAGAGCAAGTCTACTGGCACTATAAACTATAATTCATACGCAAGTCGCCGTCCGCACAACCACACGGCTATTGGCATCGTCGGAAACGACGGTCGGACTGCCAGTTTCTGAGGCCTAAACATAAAGACTCGCCCCGGTAAAAAGTTTTAAGTTCTTCTAAGGGAAAGGAACTAACCTTAGCTACTGTGTCATTCATAAAAACCCTAGTTTGCTAGTTTCTACGTACACTACGTAATTATTACATATTTCAAAAACCTCCTACCTTGTATCCGGCTTCCTTGAGTCGATTAGCTAAGTTTGTGGCCAGATTTCGGTAGAAGGGATTGTAGCTGATCAAAACATGCGGATCTGCGTTGCAGCGGCTCGCCTGAAGCGTCATGCGCTCTAAAAGTTTTTCTTAAATAACATGCAAA